GCAGGTGAACTAATCCATTACATTCAACAATACCGACCTAAAAGGCGTAATAACACCTCACGATAACCCAATCATCATCAGTGCCCAAATCAACGGGTTTAGGATCAAAAGAATCATTACGCACACTTGAAGCTTGGCAGGCATCCTATTCATGGACATATTCAGACAAATGAACATTAGCAGATCACTGCAGCAATGCCCAAGCCCCTTAGTCAGCTTCTTAGGGCATTTCGTCTGTCTCAAGGGAGTGGTCACATTGTCCATGGTCAAAAGCAAGTACCCTTGCCAATCCACCATCCAAGTCCAATTCATTGTCATGGATATAAAGTTGGTCTATAATGTTATATTAGAAAGATCATCCTTTAATGATCTCCAGGCTGTACCCTCCACATACCATTGGATGGTGAAGTTCTTAATCCCCAAGGGAGTTGGCATAGTTTGAAGTAACTAGCAGAAGCATGATAATGTTACATGCTCTTCATAAAGGGCAAAGGAATCTAGGCAACCAAACTGATATAAAAATCCTAGCATACCTACAAAAAGACAAAGAAAATGATCAAACAATTCTTGTCGAGAAGCTTCAGCCTCAACAACTTCAAGAAGAGGGTCTAAAAGAGTTGGCAAGGCCAGAGCCTCATTAGCTAGGGTGGCAGTAGTTCAGTAGGTGATGACTTTTCCTCAGCCTCCTCATCCAGAGCAATAGGTTCCTGAGCAGAGCCCTCAAAGGGATGAGTCACTTCAAAGTCAGCTTCTTCCTCTTCTTCTTCTCAATCCTGTCATCCTGGATGGTAGCTAATCTTGAACCCTTCAATCGGGCAGTGATCTTGACTGCCCTCTCAAGAAAGGCAAGTACTTCCTCCTTCACTAACTTGGGGGCAGGGATGCTTTTTTGGGACTTGTCGCTGGGGCCGCTACCACCACTTTGTTCGGCTCTAGAAGTGGCCTGCACAATATCTGTCTCAGTAGCAAGAATAAGAGAGATACTGGTAGTCCGAAGCATGACCTTGTCAAATAGATTCTTTCTATTACAAGAACCTATGTAAGCATGTATCTTCTCTAGCCCAAATCTCTCAACTTTCAAAAGAGACACCACTCTAAAATCCTCCTTCTTTATCTTTGCCCACTCAGAGCAGGCATGATCGGGTTAGTGACAAAGATAAAAAGAAACCTCTCCCTCCACCCTTTATTGGTATCAGGAATGGAACCAAGAGTTGGCCACCAATAGACTATAGATATTAGTGGCCCTCTTTTTTGCTGAACTTGGTGCACAACAGGTGAGTAAGAACCCCCGTCATGGGCTCCACATGAACTCTGTGATAAATAACTAGGAAGGTAATGAGGAGGACAATGGAATTTGGCTTTGACTACACTGACAAAATCCCAAGGTTTTTGAATATCCGATGAAGGAATGGATGTAACGGTGGACAAAGACCAAACTTTAATGGCAAAGATATATTAGCATTTAATCACCACCGTAATGATATATGATGAGCTTCTTCACCTCAACATGTAAGGTGAAGCCGTTGGCAATCTTCTTAGGACTGGACTTAAGTTCCCTCGAGTGAAACTCCTATAAAAGAGCGATCATAGCCTCATCACGACAACAATGAACTAACTTCCAGATGCTATATCAGAGTAGAAAAAAATGTTGAGCGAAGATTCCAAAGGAAATTTTGAAGAAAAAAAGGTAAGGATTACAGCCAATTCTGAACTCCTAGGGTTTGGTAACAGACGTGCTTGTTATAAATAAGTAGAGGCAACCGCCGAATCGAGAGACCAGTTTGATTCTTAAGAAACCGCTGCTAATTTTTAAAAGATGAAATATCTCTTTAACCAAAGTGCCACTCAACTCCATGATCTTCGCTTATGTTAGAAAAGCGGCCATCCTCCGGTAAAGGCGATCAAGATTCTCATAGCAACAAAGGGTTAGAACAAATCAATTTTCCTTACACTGGCCATTCAATTTCCAAGTGAAATGGGCCAATGTTATACCCTAAAAATTATTGCTTCAGGCATAAGTAACGGGACTGAACAGATGATCAGAACAAACTTGAGCTGTCAACTTCGCTGACTCGTCTAGGTAACCGGGGTTTGAGACGAAAGATATCCTCAAGTTGGCCTCCGAAGTAGCAGCCGAGTCAAATCAAAGAGTGTCTTTGATGTGGAAACATAGAATGACTAGTGGTCTCATCAATAGTGCTCACATTTAATGGTGAATAGTTTTGCACCCATCCTACGTCATCTAGTCACCATCATATTTAATGCATAGTCAAGAATCATGACGGCACCTATAATTCTGCCATTCTATTGCCATCATATTAATACTGTGAATACAGTTCTCTACCTCTGATCAATGCACTGTAGATTCTATGTAAGTTATTGTAGCATTTCACAATCTTCAAGACAATCGACCATCAAAGAAGATTAAGGGACCCTAATATCATTCTTACCTCTTAATAATTATATTTTATTATAATTTTATACACTCATTATCTATTTTATATGAATAAATATGCCACTAATAATTATTTTTATCTTTAAATATAGGTTAATGAAGAATAAATCTCAAACTCTCATCTCTCAACAAAAACCCATTGATTAAATGAAGCAAAGAAGCCCATTGGAAAATTAATTTTCAAATTATCCAAAAGCCCAATAAATGCCAAAGCCCAAACAAATGCATGAAGAAATCAAGAAATTGTCCAAGGCCCAAGCCCAAGAGCAAACACAAGAGGAATCTGCGGACAACAGCCAGAGAAAAGTTGACATCGATGCCAGCATCGATGGGGGCATCGATGCCAGCATCGATGCCCGTATCGATGCCAGCATCGCATCGATGCCAGCATCGATGCCCGTATCGATGCCAGCATCGATACCCCTATCGATGCTGGTATCGATACTTTCGTCATTCTGTTACAGATCTATGACTGAAATTTACTTGTTTTGGATAAGATTTTAATCCAAGGGCTCTCATTCACTAATGTTTACTATAAATAGGGATAGAGAGTGAGGGTTTGAGGGTGTGAAAAATTTTATAACTCCATTTGGAGAGGAAGATAACTCTTAATTGAGAAGACCATCCAATTTTGTAACTTTTGTTACAATTAATAAAAGTAATTATTTCTCCACTTTAAATCTTCTTCTCTTTGTTGGATGATGATGATGGAGATGAAGAAAAGTTTGAAGGTTTACTTTTCTTTTATTTCTTTTAAGTAATTTCTTTATTATTGCTTATTAGTTAGATTTACATTCATGCTTGTAGTATAGATTTATTTTCTTATCTTTTTATTTCTTTTTACACTTTAATTTGTGAGTAGATTTATTTTCTTGTATTTAATTTTTGCAATTTATTTTGTAGTTTAGATTTTAATTTTTTATAGTTAGATTTATTTCTTGTTCATAGTTTAGATTTTTCTTTTCTTCTTATAATTAGTTATTTTTCTTCTTGCTTTTATTTCTTAAGATGTGAAATTAATTCTTGTAGGAATCTTAAAATTATATGAAACTAGTCTAATTTCCTTTATATTGTACGAATTCTTCTCTTTTACTTAAAATATTCATGTTTAGGATAATCAACTAGAAAACTAATTGGTAGAAGAAGAATTTGATAATCTATGCTTATCTTAAATGGTTTGATAGGTTATGCTTATGAATTCTAGGATTACTATCTTGTTGTTGTTCTTATCATGAATAGTAATTTTTGACTTAGATGATAATTTGATAGGTTATACTTTTCTTAAATGGTTTGATAGTCTATGCTTAATAAATCTAAGTTGAAATATATTAAAAAGAGAATAGTTTGTATTTTGTAATTAAGATTAGCTAGTGGATTAAATTCTAGATTTCTCATATCTTAATTGAATCCTCCATCTTGACTTTCTTGAATTTTATTTTTATTCTTGATTTTAATTCTTGATTTTATTCATTCTTATTTCTTACCTTATGATTTCATTTATTCTTTGATTCTTTTTTCTCTCCTCTAAAATTTAATTTATTATCTCTTGTATATATTCACAACAATCACTCCTCACAATCACACTTATTTTTTAATCCTATTTTTGTCACGCAAAAAACATAAGAACCAATTCTAATAATCTCTTAAAATCACCTTCCTCGTGGGATCGATAACTTTTTATACTATAACTTGATCAATTGTGCACTTACAATTTTGATACATAATTATGCTGTGTCACCTTCTCTCATTAGCAACTTCAAGCTCTATGGTTTTTTCTATGTTATCACTTTCTCAAAGCCTATATTCTCTCCATCTTAATTTCAACTTGCTTATGTATTCCTTGACGTCTCTAATAGTATATCGTAACTCCAAGTGCATAATTTTATATTCTAACTTGTCTTAACACAACATTATTAATTTGTTTTAAAATTCGTTCGAAATTCATAACCAGTAGGAATTGAACCTTGATTGCACTGGTACAATCATAAAGTCTCTATTACTCGCAAAAAATCTAAAATTATGGTGATGATTGAGGGTTATAATTTTTATATTCTAACAGTAGTTTTTTCATTCTTTACTTAGAAATTCAATAATACTTGAACCATCATATAAATTACTCTAAAGTCACATAACTTATGATGAATTGTAGGAAATTAATGTAGAGGAAAGGTAAAGTCCGAAACTTTTGAATCCTAGCAGGACTGGTCCTGAGCATTCGGGGGACCTAGGCAAAAACTTGAACAAAAATACTAAAGGGGCCCTCCTATATTCAAGATTTTTTTAAATAAAGTGTTGCACCCAAGTAACTTTAGGGCTGCCTACATACCAAGGGATGATATAACTAACCCCAAGGATCAAACATAATGTAGTTCTCCTAAGCTACCCACCCTAGCCAAAGGCCTACAAATCTCACCCTAACACTCTTATTCCCAAAACAAGATCAATGAACCAATGAAAGGATCACTTTATGAAGCCTCTTCTTGTATTTTTAGATGCAAAATCATTAATTAAACTTGTATAATCAAGATTCTCCACTATATTTTTCTCAATTGACAATATAGCTAAGCCATTCAATCTTTCTTGTGACATAGTTGATCGAAGGTAAGATTTGATCAATTTTAACTTTGAAAAGCTTCTTTCTGCAGATGCAACAGTAACAGGTATGGTCAACAATATTCTGTAAGCAATCCAAGCATTCGGAAAAGTACCATCCAATTTCTTCAAATAATTCAGCACGTCAATTGCTTTTTTTGTTTCTTTTGGTAAGTATTCTCTCAAAAGTTTTAACTCTAAAAATAAATCTTCACCATCAATATCAAAATGACTATCATGCTTTAAAGATTCTTCAAGTTTCGCACAATAAGCCTTCAAACTAGCATCATCAACAATGCTGAATTTCTTCAAATCAAATAAAAACCCAAAGACTTCTTCATAATGCTGAAATTGTTCAAACCTACTCTTAAGAGAAGAAATAGCTTGATCCACTATATATAGAAAGTATTTAACTCTAAATGATTCTTCAGGAGATAATATTGTCTCTTCGGTAGCACTTTCATCAAATTGCCTCTTCCTTCGAATGATACGTTTTTCACAAAATACAACCTCAATTTTCATTTCAGATGCAACCTTTTTAGCTTCAGTAATGGCCTCCTTAAATCCATTTTCTCTGTACTTTTCAAAAAATAATATAAGTCCATTCAATTGATCTATAGCAATATCGATTTGCATGTCTTCCTTTTGCAAAAATTTGCTAACAAAATTAACAGCAAATAATAAATTGTGCCAAACAATCATACCCAATAAGAACTCAAAATTCTCCATTTCATTTGTTGCTAAGGACTCAGCTTCACTCTTTATTTTTGGATCTCCATCGATACTTGCCAAGTGAATTAAAGCATCTCTTATTTCTGTAGCTTGAAATCTTACTGATCTTACACTTTCAACATGACTTTCCCACCGTGTTTGTGACAATGACTTAAGTGTGAGACCAGAAACATGTTCTTTGAAAATATCCCACCGCTTAGTAGAAGATGAAAACAAAGTATATAAACGTTGTATCACTTCAAAAAAGATATAGCTTCCGGGACAAGAGTTTGCCATATCACAAAGTGCGAGGTTAAGACTATGACAACCACATGGAGTGTAGAATGCTCTAGGATTTACTTCGAGGAGTCTTTTCTGCACACCTTTATTTTTTCCTTTCATATTAGATCCATTGTCATACCCTTGTCCTCTTACATTAGAAATGTCAAGTTCCAGAATCTTCAATACATCTTCAAGTTCGCTAAAAAGTCCTAGTCCTGACGTATCGTCGACCTTAAGAAATTCTAGAAAGAACTCTTCTACCTTTACTGGACTTTCTGAAACATCCACACATCTTATTATAAGAGTCATTTGTTCTTCATGGCTTATATCTGGAGTACAATCTAGTATAACAGAAAAATATTTTGCTTCTTTGATTATTTTGATCATTGTATGTTTGATCTCTCCCGCTAACATTCCTATCAGTTCATTTTGAATTTTATGACTGAGATAATGCTTATGAGATTCACCACTTTGATAACGTCGAATATGCTCTTTCATTACCGGATCAAATTCGGCAATCATTTCAATTAAACTTAAAAAATTTCCATTGTTCTCTTGATAAATCTTCTCATTATCCCCACGAAATGCTAAACCATTTTTAGCAAGTGTTTTTACAACAGCAACTATTCTTAATAATACTTGTCTCCAATGTTCTCTCTCTTTGTTTAATATTTCTTGCACACTTTTATCAATAGTTTCAATACTACGCAATCTTATTTCTAATTCTATCCAACTTCTCATGCAACTTATGTGCTCACTACTCCCTTCATGACTTTGAAGTCTATGACTAAGATTCTTCCAATTTTTAAATCCTTCATTAACCAAAGAACCCATTTGATTCTTGTTTCCATCTTTTCTAAATAATTTGCAACAAAAGCAAAATACCACATTCAAAGAAGTTGAATATATTAGCCATCTCCTATCATGTTTCTCTCCATTTAACCATTGTCGAGTATAATGAGTGGAAGAGAAATGTCTGCCTTCAATATCTTTAGGAAAATCAATAACAACTCTTTTGGGTCCTCTTTCTACTAAAAGATCTCTCAATTTTTGATCAATATTACCCCAATTTGCTGGATCGTCAACATTCATGTTTTCATTGACACTCTCAATCCTAAGTTGAGTAGGTTCCTCAATGTTTCTATCATCTTCTGCAGGTTCTTCAATATTCATATTGTGTTCAGTAGGTTCTTCAATATTCATATCATTTTTCTGTTCTTCATTTTGATTTTCTTCATTATTATGTTCTTCGTTATCATGCTCTGTATGTCTACTACTAAAAAACTTATCCAACGCTCCTGCTTGAAAAATTTTCAATTTTTCCAATTTTTGTTTCTTTTTTATTTTTTCATATCCAAAACTATACTTTCTAGGAAGCATGATAAACGCTGAAAAAATATGATCAATCAACAATGCAAATTTCAGATCAACAAAAAATTATATACAAATACTAAAATACATAAGATCAACAAAAATTATAATTTATGAAGTTATAAAATTACCTTGAAATTTGAATAGCTTCACTTCAAACAAATTTCAGATCAACACGCTTGAATCCTAAAAGATGCACTTTTATCTCTTGTTCCTATTCAATAGACAAAAACAAAGTTTGGACTTAAGATTTTTTTTGGGACACGAATACGATGCAATCATTTGATCATATTGGGTCATGAAACAAGCTCTGAAATAAATCATATAATTGAATGGTAACATGCATCAACTAGTTTTTGGCCATGGTAACAAGCTCTGAAATAAATCAAATTTGATGTTAATATATCAAAACTGGACATAGGATTATAGGAATCTCCATTTAGGTTAATTAACTTACTTTTATCCGTCTTTAAAAGTCTATGAAGCTATTGCTAAAGGACAAAAAAAAAGTTGTAGGATGCTGCAGTAGGACATTAGTCAATTATAGCCTACAAAGCTAGTAAGCTACTTAGTAGCTACACAATTACATAGTTTACTGTTTACACTTTACATTAAAGTGAACACTGAATATTTATAGGAATTCTTTATGCTATTAGAACCCTCTAACAATTTTGCACAAAAGTCCTCTTACTTTTCCACATATATATCTATCTAAAACTTAGAATTATTACATTGGGGGCCCTGTTTTTTTGGGCCCTAGGCAAAGGCTTATCCCGCCTATCCCCTGGGCCGATCATGTATACATATATAAAGAGAGAGATGAGTATGCTTGGTACCAAGCACAAGTTTTTGTCCTTGGAAGTGAGATGCCATGTTCTCCTTCACTCATTAAAATTGGGGTTCACATTCACATGGGTTGGGGAGTGGTTGGGAATTAAAATGAGTGGATGAGAATAGGACATCTCACTATAAAGCATAAAATTTGTGCTTGGTACCAAGCATATCCATTTCTCTCTCTCTCTCTCTCTCTCTCTCTCTCTATATATATATATATATATATATATATATATATATATA